CATAATAAACTTCAGAATCATCCCAACCCTCTCGTTTCTAACCTTGCTTCCTCTTCAATTCCTTATAACCCTCCGAGGCGTCTGAAAAGAAGATGGCCCCGTGATCTCCTAATGTAGTCATATCATTAGAGTGCTACCATTGGGTAGTTACTCAGCAGGTGTATTCATGTCATTATATCAATTATGTCCAAATTTATGTAATGCAGTTGTAAATGTCATAAAGAAATAAAAAAATAAAAATTACTTCATAGTAAACTAGACAAAATTTACTTTAAATGAAAAAGTATTTATTAATAAGAGGAATTTAGACTTTTGAGGACTGATTCTAATAATTACTGGATGAGAAGAAGAAGAAGAAAAAGTCTTTGTATTTATCAAAATTACAAAATATAAATTACAAAATAATATTTTTGGATTTAAAACCGAAAATCAGACGTGCTACATGGTCTGTTGACCGTCAGAGGAGTCTGTGTTTCATAACAAAATTATATTTCAGTCTATTTATATACAAATAATTAATAGGAAAATAAGAACAATTATATTTATAATGTAAAAGATATACAAATATTTTAATAACGAAAACAGTGGTACCAAAATTCTCCTATTTATTAGTTGTTAAATTCTCTGGTGAGCATTATTCTATAGGAGAAAGCAGTCCTGCAGTAATTTACCAATGCTATCCAATTGTTTCGATTTATTAAATCTATTACTTGATCCCGAGATAAATTCCCAGATTTTAACCATTTCATTCTACATTCAGAGAGTATCGGACAATCAGCCAGGAAGTGATTGAGATCTTCTGTTTCGTTTGTATTACACATGCTACAATTATTATTTGTTTGCTGGAAGTGTTTATAAATTAAGTTCAAAACATCAGCTCTAATTTTAATTACCCATCTGATCACCTTCAATGAGCTTTTGTCATCAATATAATTTACTGAAGTTAAATGAGGATAAAAAGTGAAAGTTTTAGAATTCTGAACTTTAATTACATATGTCTTTCTGAATTTGAGTTTTTAGTAAATATAAATTAACTCTCCATAATAATTATTATTTAATGAAAATAATTGAAGTAATCACTAGGTTTCATTATTTTAAACGTAAATATTAAGGTTAGAAATATTTAGTTAGTCACTTATAAATACTAATTAGTCCCTACAATAGAGATTTTGCTAACTTAATTTAAGTAATTAATAATTGCTTCACTGCAATCTAGAAAAAAATTGCTTTAAAAAAAAATAAAGTTTGCCATTGTCATATTAAATGATGTTCAAAGTGATTTCCTTGAGCATTAATTCAGGCTCGGCATCTTTTTTCAACAGCAGCAGTGGCAGAACGGCACTGGATATGTGTTATTGTTTCACAAGATTCAATAATCCTTCTTCGTAAGGAATTAAAGTCATTGGCCGGAAAAAAATCAGTGGTGTCAGGCCTGGAGAGCGTGCAGGCCAAGCCACTGGTCCTGCACGGCCAATCCATCGATATGGGATATGATTAAGTCCGGTCAATGACCTTAATTCCTTACGGAGAAGGACAATTGAATCTTGTGAAACAATAACACATATCCAGTGCCGTTCTGCCACTGCTGTTGTTGAAAAAAGATGCGGACCCTGTATTAATGCTCGAATAAATCACTTTGAACATTTAATATGAATATTGATGTTTACATTTAATTAATAAAGTAGTTGGAACAAATAAATAGGTTTTATTTATTTCATATAACGTAAATAATTCATAACAAATAAAATATTTAGGTGTGAATATCTCCTAAAAGCGTTTCCGGATATATCTTCAGAGGAAATCTTTTTCTTGTTTTGAGGTGTAGACTAGTATGTCTCAATGAGAACTCTCGCAATAGGTAGATATCCCTCTCCACTAGCGGATCCAGGATTTAATTTTGGGGGGGGGAGGAGGTCTTCAGCCCGAAACCTTTTTTTTCATAAAAATAACGATAATTACTTTGAAAAACAGAAAGAAACTAACTGCCTATATGAAATGGTGTTTAAGTTATTCCTTAAGTACTTTTAAATGTAATTACACGAACAATAATACTTTAAGAGGTATTTTTTAAAAAAATTTTCCCATAAAACATGGTTATATTTTTTCCATTTTGGGGGGGGGGGAGGCTTCAGCCCGAAAGTCCTCCTCGTAGATCCGCCCGTGTCCCTCTCTCTAATCCATTTGACGTATAAGTCGGCAAAACATGTGAATTGACAACAAATGTTAATATACAACATAAGGCGTCGTTCTTAAAGAGACCTCCAATCGAAGTGAAAACTGTCAGGACATAATCAGTGAATTAGAAGCCGAAGAACAATAGGACGAGAGGAAAAAAAAACAAACAAAGAAGTAGAGTGACGCTAACAACTCTCGATTAAAAGCAAACAAAGGAACTGAAGACGTAGTTAGATCAAGGTAGCACTGTTCGAGATAGTTCCATGCCTATCTTTAAAATAACATTTTTTACTACCTCGCTGCCGAAGGTACCCACCAAGCATCAATATCTGAAAGACATCTAGTAACCTTGTCATGAAAAGGAGTGGGGGTCCAAGTTGCAAGTTGCATCGGATGGGTGTAGAATATTTCTTTTTTTCTTGGGTGATAAATAATCAGGACGCAGTCCTTTTTTTAAAACAAAATTTTTTTATTTATGCCAATGTTTCAACCAAAACATGTGGGTCTCATCTTCAGGGCGTAGTTTGAGCACTGAGGGTGTTGAAGTTCAAACATCGCCCTGAAGATGACCCAAATGTTTTGGTTGAAACATTGGCATAAATAAAAATTTTATTATAAAGGAAGGAGATGGTCCGGGGTTGCGGTCATAAATAGGCTAAATAGTGGTAAAACTATTTTATTGAAAGCCACTGTTTCGACCCTACTTTGCAGGTCTTCATCAGGGAGGTGTGTTCATCTAGGAGTTTCACTTAGAACTGAAAACTCACTTCAGTTCTAAATGAAACTCCTAGATGAACACACCTCCCTGATGAAGACCTGCAAAGTAGAACCGTTGGCTTTTAATAAAATAGTTTTAGCACTATTTAGCCTTTTTAGGACCGCAACCCCGGACCATCTCCTTCCTTTATAATGCAACGGTCAACTATTAAATATTCAAAATTTATTATAACTTAAAAATTAAATTTTCTTTTTAAAAAAAGACTGTCCTGATTATCACCCAATATATGTAAAATAGTCGACTAACTTCTTTCAATAATTCTTTTTTTCTTGGATAGGATGTGATTGAGATACAAAATCAAAGTTTTCGACCTACCTCGGATGACTTTTGAAAATCCCCAAAACTACTATATTTTGCCACTTTTTTCGTTTTTTTCCCCCATTTTGACCATGAAGATGCGTGTACGTTTCATACAAAAACATTCTATATTATTTTAAACTATATTAAATATGCTACAAGTTAAGACCTTTTTTTTTGGGATATTCAAAAGCGATGGGGAGGAGAAGGGGCGAGGTAGAAAACTTGAATTTTGTATCTCTTGGATTTTAGCGGACTTTTCATGATTTGTGGTGGCAGATTCTCGCCCGCAACTTGCTACAAGACACAAATCGTCACTGTGGGCGTATAGTGATTTCACAGCGTGAACAGTGATCGTCACTGTTGGAGCACAGTGATTTCACAACGCCAACAGTGACTGTCACGTTGATTTGGGTACGCCTGTCACTGTGACCACCAGCTACGGCCCAGTCACAGTGACAGAATTACAGTTCCATCTATATGGCCCCATCACTAGTCTGGATGCTGATCTGTCCACTTGTATTCTTATATACTAAGTCAGGATATTGATCCCCCCGTTTGTGGTTGCCATCCCTGCGGAGTGTCAAGGTTGATCTCTTACACTGCAGACCGAGAGTGATTCGGATGCTAATCCGCCAGATACTTTAGATCATCCTTCTACTCTTTTCCTTTATCGAATGTTTCATATTACTACTTTTGTAGTATCCTAGGTCCTATCCTTTACACAGTTTATACAGCTGATATCCCAACCCATGCTAACACAGTCATTACCACGTACGCGGATGATACATGTGTCCTATCAGTTAATAACGACCCAACAATTGCATCCCAAACCCTTCAATCACACATCACAAACCTTGAAGAATGGTGCCAAAACTGGAGAATAAAAATAAATTCCAATAAATCCCATCAAATCACCTTTACCCTTCGTCGTAAACCTATGTCCTCTTGTCCTACAGTATCCTTTAATAATACCCCACTTATTCCTGTTGAACAAATTCGATACCTTGGACTCTACTTAGACAAACGTCTAACTTGGAATCCTCATACCAGTCTGAAACGACAAGAAACAGCTCGACGTTTCCGACTACTCCAGCACTTACTAGATAAACGCTCTAACCTCCCAGTCAATTACAAAAGACTCATATACATGACTACAATAAGACCTATTTGGACTTACGGAGTTGAGCTCTGGGGCTCCACTAAGCCATCGAATTCCTCTCGTATTCAATCCTTACAATCCAAAATCCTTCGTAAAATCCTCAACGCTCCTTACTTTGTCACAAACAAAATCATCCATAACGACCTTAATGTTCCTTATGTTTCTGACTTGGCCCAATCCAGATACCTATCCTTCCATAACAAACTTCAGAACCATCCAAACCCTCTCGTTTCTAACCTTGCTTCCTCTTCGATCCCTGACAACCCTCAGAGGCGTCTGAAAAGAAGATGGCCTCGAGATCTCCTTTTGTAAATACATTTTTAGAGTGCTACCAATGGGTAGTTTCTCAACATGCGATGTCATGCTATTTTATTCCTTTGTTCACATTTACTGAATGTATTTTTACTTGTAATACAGTTGCAAATATCACCAATAAATAAAAAAAAAAAATATTACTACTTTTACTTGTACACACTCTGTCTAGGCCTTCTGGTTAGTTATATAAAGGGGTATTTTAAAGACTATTAAAAATCCTGCCTTGATTTCCAGATAACCCAATATAACATTATTATTATTATTACTAATTACCTGAACAGGATCCGACTTGGACGACGGCGAGGGCGGGGTCGCCGGCGCAGCGGGCCTTGAGGAGGTGGCACCTCGTGGGGTAGGTCTTGCCGTCGGAGCCGCACACCGCTCTGCTCGGGTTCCGGGCCTCGCACTCCCGCAGCTTGTCCTCACAGCTACCCTGAAATATAGGCAATATTGTAATTATTGTATATATATATATATATATATATATATATATATATATATATATATAAAATATATATATATATATATATATATATATGTATAATAATAATAATAATACTGTAGAAGATGTAGCAAAGTCACTTAAACAAATGAAAAACTGGAAAGCTTCTGGGCCAGACAAAATACAAAATTACTGGCTGAAGTATTTCAGCAGTATTCACAATCATCTGGCTTCATGGTATCAAAATCTAATATCTGAAGAGGTAGACCTTCCTGCAAATTTCTGCACAGGCATGACTTATTTAACAAGAAAATCAAATAAGGAAAAATTGGATCCAAAGGATTTGAGACCTATAACGTGTTTAAATGGTGTGTACAAGCTTTTGACGGCTGTCATCAGAAACAAGTTGACTGACTACATTCAAGAAAACGCCATCCTGTCAGTGGAACAGCTAGGTAATAAACCAGGTTCAAGAGGATGCAAAGAACTTCTGTTGATAGATTAGTTTATTGCAGCTCAAGTTTCAAAAAGATCTCGCAATATTGCTTTATCTTCGGTTGATTCGATTCAGTTCAACATGATTGGCTTTTAGAAGTTCTGAAGATACATAAAGTGGACCAGACAATAATAGATTTGTTAAAACGTTTAATGCAAATTTGGAAGGTATCACTCTGTTCACCAAATTGGAATGGATTAAGTACCAATGAATAGATACCTATAAAAAGGGGTATTTTTCAAGGTAACTCCCTTAGTCATCTTTGATTCTGATTGGCGCTCAATCCACTCACTCAACTACTGGAAGATACAGGTAAGGGATACCACCTCAATTCTGAAACGAAGCTCTCCCCCATTCGTTCTATATGGATGATCTCGAGCTTTATGCAAGAAATGAAGATGAAATGAGAGCTCTTTTAAAAATAGTAGAGACATTCAACACTGACATAGGAATGGATCTGGGGATAGATGAATGTCCAGTAATATAAGTAAAAACAGCTAGATTGTTGAAGGGAATTATATAGAGCTATACACGTTTTGAGCTAACCTGATTCCAAATAACCAAATCATGCAAAACGGTCTGTGTGTATGTTATGGGTTTAGCTCAAAAACGAAAAGTAGTGCGAAACTGATATTACGTGTTTAAGATATGTTTAACTTTTTCTTTAAAATTAGCTAACCGGAGGTGTCAAAAAAAAAAAAAGAATAATAAAGATATAACATATTTTAATTAAAAATCGACGCCCCCCACCTCATTGGTCACTCGAAATAAAATATTGAGCCTTGGATGGGACTTTTTGCCCCAACCCCCTTATTCACCAGACCTAGCTCCTAGTGACTACTATTTATTAAGATCTCTACAGAACTCCATGAATGGAAAGAAATTCCTAAAGGAAGAGGACATAAAAAACTACTTGGATCAGTTTTTTAACAATACACTTCAGACATTCTATGAGCATGGCAATTATGTAGTTGGTGGAAAGATGGGAAAAAGTAATATTAAATAATGTTCAATATATTGTAGAATAAAATAAATGTTATGTCTATAATACATTGAGTTTTATTTCACTCTGAAAAACGAAAAGGACTTATTTGCCAACAAAATATTAAGATATATAGTAATCCAAGGTTAAGGAAATGGAATGGATAGCTAATGGCGGCGGGGCAAACTAGTTGCAGCTAAATAACGATGACTTCAATCGAACAAAAACAAAATCAGAAAATATCAACAGAGGGATTGTATTCGAAAGGAGAGATATTGCAGCGGCGATGCACAAGTACACTGCTGTGTACCGAGTACAGATTAGTGTACTGTTTGCTCACCTGCATTCGCGCCGAGCGCTGCGTCACCAATTTTATCAGTAGCTTCCAGCGGATCTGATAACTTGAAAAATATTTGTATTGGGCGCGGATTTCCTGAAGAACTTGGTATAGATCTATAAATATAGAATAAAGTTTAACTTCGAGAGTAATTCAGCAAGTCAATTCAATTCAAAGTCTGAACCTTACCATCTAAGATTTTTTTGAAATTCGGTACAGTTGTAGTTTATTTATTTACTTTACTGAATTTGTTGAGATAAATCAGCTAGTTTTTTAATTAGACAGCTCAAAAGAACCGATAAATTAACTAGTTAAATAATAACAGCAGATTTTTTTATAAGTAAACTAGCTGATGTACCCATCATTGACGGGTGTATAGTCAAAATTGAGGGTGAGGGGGGAGAGGTAATTTTAATTTTTAGAAGATTTTCTTCCGATTTCCGGCTATTACGTTAGGTTAATCCTAAAAATGTATACGACAACATTTGTTAGGCTCAGGAAGTTGAATAGAATGACACCTTCAACGGGAAGATGGGACAAAGTTGAAAAATGAGTGTGTTTTAAGCGGCAACGCGTTACAGATGTTTGGTATTTCGGATTTTTCTCGTTGAGTTGTGATAATTTTTTTCATCAGTTGAGTAGTACAACTGTTAAATATGGCTTGTGGTAGAGTAGGTTGGGATGAGAATCAAAGTAACTGCCTAACCGGGACCTCTAGACAAATTAGCCAAGAATTCATAACTCAGATTCTATTCAATATTTTGTTTTCATTAAAAGCCTATATTTTAAGTCAAGTAAACCTTAATATAATGTCAAAATTTCAAAAGTATACAATAAGCCATTGCTGAGCGTAACCCTGACAAAATTTCGTTGCAATGCGAATATACAGACAGACAAAAAAATTTTTAAAAGTGGATTTGGTGTCTGCAATGTATGAAACAGAAAGATTTCATAAAACGGGTTGATTCTATTCAATGTACAGAGAAAATCTTTATTTTATTTATATAGATAGAGGTCTGTGATTGGAGTCATTATGCTGTCTTTTAAATATTATTTTTTATGATATACAATGCTCTATAGGTGAATATATATATATATAATATAAGGGGTAGCTCAGTGGGTGAACACTGACTTCCAAAGCTCAAAGTCTCAGGTTTGAATCCGGCCGATGACAGTAATTTTTCATCAGCCGCCGGTCTACCCTGGTACCAGGAGACTCTCCTGGGGAAACCCAACTTCTATTAAGTGAATACATTTAATTAAATAAATAATTAAGAGAGAAAACCTGGCGGTTGAGAGTGATATTGGACCTCTCTGCACAACCGTTGGTCTTGTAACAGTACTTCCTCATATTGTACTCAACCCAAGATGGGTTTAATGGGTTCATGGGTTTAAATTTATTTGTAAATAAATTTATTAAAAATTTATAATTCAATCTTTCTGAAAGTATAATACATCTTCAATAAAATCTGTTGGTTATCACTCTGATCAGACTAAAAATATTTCGTGGCACTTGATTATTTACTACAATAATTAATAAAAATGTACAGTCGTAAAAGGAATTGGTTAGTGACAATATGTGTAATATACAGCTGTAAAACATGTTGTAATTAATCGTTATGTACGATTCATAATTGTTACTTCCACTTCCATTTTTATGCAGATATCTATTTTAGAAAAAAAAATGAATATATAATATATAATAAAAGTATACTAGCATTATAAAACAATAAATAAATTCGAATTACCCAATACGTAAGCTGTAATTTTTATTTGAACTTTTTTATACATGACCACGTTGCTTTCGAAATTGGTTTGAACAGAGAAAATAGATACACATTTTTAACTGTATTATTTAAAAATTAATTAGAGGCAAAACAGTCGATATATATGAAGGAATCGATAAATTCTATCGATAAAGCTGGGATAGCTGTACAATGCGATGGCAGAATTAGTGGCAATTAGAGTGCGACAGTTAATTCTTAATTATCTAGACGGAAGAGTAAATTGTCCGCAGTCGGTTCAGTAATACTTCTGCCTTCTCTACTTGGAAAACTTCTCTATAACTTATCCATATTAGTTGTATTTTTGTTGCTGAAACTCTACTTAACTGAATATGAATGATGAAGTGAATTAGATAAACATATATTATATATATAATATAATGAAATAGTAATGAATCACATCCTATCTATGGCCACATCAGCTCAAAGTATTCTGTGAACACCCTGACGTCAAAAATCATTCGAGAAAAAAAAATTTCAAATACAAGCAACTCATCCACAGAATGATAAGAACAAAAATACTCACTCGTATTTAGTCACATTTATGTCATAAGTGTCAGGATGAGTCAAACGGAGTACATCTTTTTAAATTTTCAAATCCGAATTTTTTACAAAAACACACGTTTCGAGTTCAAATAAGGTTTTGCAAAATGGTATTTGTGCGTATGTGTGTGAACAATCTCGCTCAAGAACGAAGTTATAAGAAATTGAAATCACTTATTTAATTTATAACATATTTAAATTGTAAAATCAATTTTGGCTTATTATTTTCAATAACCAACCATTGTGATCGACCAAAAAATTCAAAAACTTAACCCCCTCTCAAAATTTGAGGTTTCACGTTTCAGGATGCGTAGAATTCGAAAAACGAATACAAATTTTTTTGTCCGTCCGCCGTCCGCGCATTTTCTCCGAAACTACTGGACCGATTTTTTTTCAAATTTGGATATAAAATCAGAGGTCACCCGAGGATGATCCTCCTTCATCGACATTACCATCCGCCTTTTACTTTCAAAATGGCGGCCGAAAAACCTGCGTTGCTATAGACTATAGCTCCTAAACGAATGAACTGATTTCAATGAAACTTGGCTAAAGTCATTTTCTCGACGTTCTTTAAATTTATCTATCTGACATACTTCAGCGAAAAGAAGCTGGAAAAAAGTTACGAAGGATGGTAAAGTTAAATTCCGAATAAATCAAAAAGTTTACGTTTTGGTTTTTAAAAAGTTTCCGAAATTTCCTAAAAACCGAAAAAAAAATCGTTAAAATCGGACAATTAGGAGCAAAGATATGGTCTCCGGTTTTTTTTAATATGTTCTACTCCAAATGTTATATCCTTTGTTTGGTTTTTAAATTTTGAATGTGTTACTGATGTAATGCTATTTTTTTTAG